TAAATGCTTTTTGCATAAATGTATTTACATGTTTTGTTTTTTCCTATTTCTAATGAACTATTCGCCAATATTTCAAGTGCTCAATGGCTATTGCTCCACTTCTTCCTATCGCATCTAAGAGCTGTCCAGTGGAGCCCTCCCGATTGTAGGAAATCGTTGAAGATCATATCTTTTTTCCAGGCTTTACATGAGCAAATCAAATTAACAAATAGGTGGCCTTCATGTTGCGCGTTTGACATCCCGAGAAATATAGTCGGTATCGTCTCTCAACTATTGGTTGTTGTTGAACGGACTACGTGTCCATTAATCTTCGGCTGCTTAGCGTATCGCAGAGCGTCTTTGTTTTCTGTTGACAAAAACTTGAAAGCTTGACTTTCAGAATCTTTTTCTTATTTGAGAGATATGGAATACTCCTAGCATCGATCTTTCGGCTGCGCGTTCAGCAAACGCCAAGTGGTCATTTATCACACTAACATGGGGTAAGGTTTTTGACAGAAAGAATCGCGAAGTCGAAGAGACTGACACAGAGTCAGAAGCTCTTTGGTCTTGACACTACATCTTAGATGCTTAGATGAGGTTAATTATCCTTTCTCTTTGATTTTATATGACGGTGAGAGGAACTGGCTATTAAATAGATTAAAGTGGTATTCGTAGATTATTTTTACCTCTGCTTTTCTGGAAGTTGTAACATTTCTATCAAGACGTCAGAGTGCAATCATCATGGTTTTCTACTGAGCAAGTTTCGGTGGGCTTCGTGAATGGTGTTCTCAGCTTCTGGACCTTCGTCTGTTATTGTGCTCATTCTAAGATCTTTTATCGCGTCACTCTTCTTCTTCTATCGTTTGAGAATTCGCTCATGAGTTGACGATTGCCTGCGGTTAGTTGATCGGCACAAATCACCGTCATAAAAAAGCAAATGACGAGAAAGTTTTTAAAGGCCTTTTTCAGTAAGAAGAAAACGCAAGCGTTCTATGATTTCATACTCTCCGAGAGACAGCAGCATATTTCGGAAGGGGACAAATTCTCAACTTTTATTGCTCATTCTGTCCCTATTTTGTAAGAATGGGACCGTCTTCTTTCAAATATCTGGCATGTACAAATTGTGAAAGTCGATTGGTTTCTTGTATCTAACTTTACTTTTCCTTGATCACCTCCCATCGTCATCAAAGAGTAGGACAGGAATCAAAACGACGACACCTGCTCTGACCACGCACTGATTTTCTCCTTATCAGCGCCCTCTTGATGTGTTAAAAAACCTTCCATTATTTTTGATTGAAATGTATTACACCAAATTTATTTCAAGCAATGCGAATAAGAACTACAAACAGGCTACAAATGTTACCATTTTGTGAGTTTAGCTCTTTATCTACTCAAATATCTGCTTTATCTCACCAGTAAATCTAGAGAAAAAACGCAATTAAGCCTACCTAAAGACGATTTTTGTTAGTGACTTTCATTTTGCTCTCTTCTTTCTCCAAAGGCATCCACCTTCGACGAGTGCTACAATTTCGAGGTCTGATACATACTTCTCAAGTTGCTAGTGGCATTCATTTTTGAATATTCGGCACAATGAAACAGCTTCTCTGCCCTTGAATCTTGTTCATTCTCCCTTGAACTACTCCCGTTTTGCATTGTTCACCCACTATGACAAATGTGGAGTTAGCAGAAGAAGAGGAGATGATGCCAGCGAGAATCTTAGAAGAAAACAACGGAACTTGAAGTGACTACCATCGATGCCGATTTATAATTATTTTGATTGCGGATTTAATGCATTTTCAGAATACGCAGTGTGGTATACCTTCAACATTGTGCGTCCTGAGATCTTCATAAACTAAAGCGCGATTCAATATCTTAGCTGCAAAGTTTGAAGCGTTACTGGATGTTTACATACGAGTAGTAAGCCAGTTCTCAGCGTAAAGATGTTGATGCATCCGTTTAGAGTCACCATCTAAGATATCATATGTATACGAGGTGAGACGGTATCGGATTGGATATCCCAGTAACTCAACACTGTCACGACTGATTGATGCAATGATAGAAGATAGTTGAAAGTCGTGATCGTCATCCCTACTTAACTATATATCCTGAAACCAAACGATATCATCTTTGCTACCAACACCGGGAACCATCCCTTTCGCTGTTAGCGCTTTTTTTCAAACGTAATTGATAGTGATTTCGAAACTGCGAAAACGTTGGCCCTCTTAGTTCAATATGCCTGATAGTTATTTTTGAGCCACGCATGTCAGCGCTCTGTTAAATGGGCTGATTTATAGAGCCCGATACACGTGTTTCGATCTTGTGATCTCGCCAGTCGGGCAGTTAACCTTTCGTCTTTTTTTTGCCAAACCTGTGTGGGTGCTCGAATCCCCACAATGAGAGTTAGCGACGGCGAACGTTTTACACACTATGTCCAGTGAAATTATTACCAAACACAGAGTGTTATACACTCAATTGCTCTTGGCTAGTATATTCAATATATCATGTATTTCGTTTCTAGTGTTTTCTTGAGACCACAGCTCAAATTTCAATTGCCTGATAATTATTTTTGATCCTCTTAACTCATTTTTTAGTGCGTTTCAGACATTGCGATGACGTCCGACGCAAACATGTTATCATCTTTTAGGATCTTTGACTTTTACACCTTCTAATTCAAATATTTTCTTATATGCGTGTAATCATCAGTAAGTATTCTGCTACTAGACACTTTGTCTGCGAAGCCCAACCGCCTACTGAGTTCTCCGCCCACGTTTGATCTTCGTTCATACTTCTTTTTAGAGGATATATGATAAAATTGTTGGCGTTGACCAATCCCGGAGAGATGTGTCGTGGATTCGTAGACAGTTTTTAACTTCCATGCACATTTGACCCATGCAACTCACAATGGCCTATTGATGTATCAAGTCAGTGCTGCTATCCTCTCAAACAAGTCAGGTATCAACTCACCGTCTCCGGATAGATGGAAAGGCTTGATGAACTTTGAGCACAGGATCGAAACATTGAGCATCGATCATGTGTGCCGCAGAGCACCTCTTACCACTGCGTGACACACGCTCTTGTCTTCGTTCTTAAAAAGTAAAAGCTAGTAATTCAATCTTTTGCAGATGAAAATCGTTGCGGCTCTGCCTATAGATGGTTCACTGTGACATCAGTGTCACTGCGGAAAGTGAATGTTCGAGATGCAGATGATCGAAGCACTATAGCCATGAGCAATAACATAAACCTTTGCGGACGTCAGCACAATTTATATCGCCAGTGCAGCGCAAGTTTGCTCTTCAATAGAGAATTTTTTCTTTGTGTTGGATAATACTTCAGGTTCCTTGTACGCATCTAGTGGGACATGATTTTTTCTACAATCTTGTGTACTTATAGTGCATATTAAGCTCCTGTGTCGCTCACCAGGTCATTCTTCCCTCTGGATCGATAAACTGGTACCATGCCGGTCCTAGACTTGTCTGGGAGGATAAGCAGCACTGACTCGATACATCGGTAGGCCACCGAGAGTCATTGTAAAGACCAGTCATTCGTTCAATTACGTTAATTTATGAACAGGGAAAACTTCAAATGTGAAACGCTATTTTATTTCCTTTCTCACAATGCTCTTTGGAAATCTTTTTAATAATCAGTTTAAGCTTCAAATTCGCCGAAAATTGGGCTATTGATTGACTTTAGTGTAGTCCAGCAGAAAGCGATCCACATACTTTAGCTGAGCAAATAAGCCAAATCGAGTGTGGAACATAACTTTATTTATGCTGCTCTAGCGTATTACAAAGGTTTTCATAGAAACCAAGCAAAGAGTCGGAATTCCCATGATTTCAGCTTTCCAATGACTACTTGAATTTTAGATAAAAGGCTTTCTTTAGCGGAAGATGGTCTCTGAAAATGTGAGGGTCAAAATGGCCCTCACCGTCCGCTAAGGGTTAATCTATCGCACATTTACCACTCTACCACATTTACCACCCAAGTTCGTGGAGCAGGGAATCTAAAGAGTACGAAATCAGTAGTAATCGTGGTCGCCGACTACCACAAATTGAAGAAACATACATTATCCACAGTGATAAGGATCAATCTTAGTTCTCTCATGATGTAGATAAATAATAATTTCGCACTCTTTGCAGGAGCTGCTGCGTTCTTACAAGATCTAACAAACAAAATCATGCCTTGCTTAATGTCAAGAGTTTCACAACTTGTTGATAGCGTGAGTCCTCATACGACAAATCGCTATGTACCGCTCTCAAAGTGCATCCCTGTCAATACCACTGATCAAGATTCACTGCATATGTATGTTGCTCAGGATTTTCTGAAGAATATTATCTATGTACATATATTTGTCGTGTATCTTTTCCAATTTTTTTCAAAGCATATCATTTCGTATGCCAATTTTCATAATTAACCCTTGAGGCTCCCCTCTCTTTGCTAAGTCAAGAGTCATCCGAAAAAAGCGTAATTGACGTCAATGGAATGAGGCTGAAACATTGTGGGCAGATGGTTTAAGCGGTTCAGAGAAGACAGTTTTGACCTCGAAAACATGGCTCGTTCTGGCCGGCCATTTGTTTTGGATGAAAGTAATTTACAGACCGCTTTGAATGCTGAGCCTTCATCGAGTACTCTTCATTTGACTAAAGAGCTTGGTGTTTCACAGCTGGCCGCTGTCAAAAAGTTGCACCAATTTGACTTTATCCACCAAGAAAAGTATACCTTGTATACTCTGTACTTTGAAGAATAATTATTGCTGTTTTTATTGTTTGATTTGTGCATAAAAACAAAACTTTCAGAGATTATCTAGAACTTTTCCTCCACATCGGTATGGCGTTGAATTGATCTCATCGTGCAACCTCCTGTGGATAACCTGTCTTTTATGATATCGCCTAAAATCGAAGCGTGTGCACATGACTCTCTTTATCAGACATATTAGCGAATGAAATCCATTTTATTTTACCGCTTATTGCGGTGGTATAATCTTACAATAAACTCAACAATGTAGAGTGGTGTGCAAAAACATTTGCGTCAGCTGGGATTCGAACCCACATTTCACCCCATCCGATGCGCGTGCTAAACCGTTGCAATACTGACGCAAATGTCTTTCCATACTAACAACAAAACTTGACAGAATCAATTCAAATTTTTTTATTTTGACATCATTTCATGCAATTCACTAAGTCGTTTTCACTATAATTTGAGAGATTAAAGTTTGAAGTGAAAAATAAACTACTCATTAGCACGTATTGGCTATAGTTCTCGCGGAAAGATGAGTGTACTCAAGTACTCATTTTCCATATACAGCCAAAATTGATTTATATCGTCAACGATAGGGTCAGATAATTTACCCTTCTCTAAGGAACATAGTAATATAGAAGGAAGTCGTACAAGAGTGCCCGATGTTGTACAACTAGAAGAACAAAATTATTCCAGAAATCGTATTATTGCTGCTCTTGTTCATTAGAAAAAGGTTTCACGATTCACCTGCACTCTTCCACAAACAAGAAGATCTCTTGGGTTCTCGCTAACGATGGCGAAATACGTGGTGGTACTGTAATGATTGCCATAGTCTCCGAAGACGTATTTGTCATAAAAGGATTACTATTGCTAAGATAAGGAAAAGTTCCTTACCACCCACAAAAAACTCAAATTTTATGTTCTCTGCACACATTATCGTTAATTGTAAGTTCATATAAATATCTCAGGGAAGACCTCTATAAGAAACTCCCACAGCAACGCTAGTTTCAGTGCACCAAATTCACTCTTCAGATACCTTTTGATGACGATGGACAAAAAGGTCATAATCTGCGTTTGGCGGAATTGAGGTGTCTTACATCGAAATTATTCCAGATGGTCGCATCATAAATGCCAAACTCTACTGCGAGCAGATGGACTAAGTCTACGATGCATTGAAGGAAAAGTACCTGATATTGATTCGTCGAAAGCGCGCGCTGTTTCAGCAAGACATTGCCCTTGACCTCACACCGCAAAGAAGTCTAAGGAAAAATTTGATGAGTTGGGGTTAGTCGAGATCTTGCTGCATACAGCCTACAGTCCAGATGATGAGCCTTCCGATTAGGGTTCGCGTTTTCGCTCAATAGAATATTTTCTGCACAAAAGCCGATTCGAGACCATTGATCAAGTTGAAGAAGGACGTTCAGAGTTTTTTGACTCAAAGCTCAGAATATGGTATTTCGAGCAGATCTGGGAACTTGCAAGTTTTCATTTAGTTACTCAAAAATTGGTCTTTACTTTGAAGAATAATTTTCCTATTTTGAAGAATAATTATTCCTATTTTTACTCGGATTTGTATAGTAAACTTTGATTTTTTGGTGGGTGTTAAGAACCTTTTTATCAACCTAATAACATCTTCCAACGAGTTAGCATATTTTTTTCAACTATCTTTTTCTCTGAACACCTGAACGTTTTCTTCAAGAAAAGTCAAGTAAATTCATTTATTTTAACAATCTCTAGTAGATTTTAGATATAACCAATAAAGGAATTGTTCAGGCGTCTTCTACAGTAGCTTCATCATGCTAATTTGAATCAGTACCCAAAGCTAAAGTTTAGATTAATACGCGAATTTCCTTTTCACCAAGAAAGACTTAACATACCGTGTAGGGTTCCGTCTCAAAGATATTCCGGTCCACATCAAGATCGAAATACGCAACCATATCGGCTACCGTATCTTTGAACGCTTCAACATAGGTGATAGAATGCTCGTGATCGCATCGTGTTTTGAAAATTTTCGATCGCCAGCAATCATTTTTTCTAAATGACATTGATAAAGTAGTGCAGCATACAAATCATGAGAGCAATGATAGTTCTCATTTGCAGGGGTCTCATTTACAAGCGATTGTCTTTGGATAATATGCCGAAAATAAATAAATAGCAAACATAATAAAATTAAAAGGGTGAGGCTCTCGGCGCTGATCAATCCCTGAGGGATGCGCTATGCATTCGATCGACTTCAATTTTTAACTTCGTTTGAGGTGATTGAATGCATATCTGGCCTTTACAATGACTCGCGGTGGCTTCCCGCTGAATCGAGTCAGTGCTGCTTATTCTCAAGTCTGAGACCTGCCTGGTACCAATTTACCAACCCCGGAGGGATGGATGGCTTGATGAGCCATGAGAGCGAGATCGAACCATTGATCTCGTGTGCGACGCAGAGCACCTCTAACCACTGCACCACATGCGCTCTAATAGCAAACTTAGACGAAAAATTTTCAATGTCACATCATCTCTATTAAATTTGGCCATCTCTATTGACTTTTTGCTTTTTGCTTCGTAAGGAAAAGAGGTGTTTAGTAGCAACACTTGTTGATGAATGAAAGTGATCAACTTAGAAGGTTCAAAGTCAAAATGTTCAATTGAAGATTATCATCACGTCGAAAAAATAGTTTGAGAACATCGACTTTCACTTACAAGTGTTTGCGCGGGAGGGAATGTGCAAAAGAAGTCACTAAACTTGGCATGACAGGTTGTCATACCAAATAGCTACGAGGGAACTGCCACTAACATCAGGTCAAAAGGACGATTAAGTATTATAGCGAAAACAGCGTTGTGCCAAACTTATATGATAATATTATACCGCCTATTTCGAGTTTTCCTAAGACCACGCTCAAAATCAAATATAACTTATAATAATTATTTGAGCCAACATGACACATGGTCTGTTGTGGACTCTTCTTCAGCCCGATACACGTGTTTCGGCCTTCCAGCCTCGTCAGTCGGGCAGGCCCTTCGTCTTTGACCAGTGCTCTCGAGGGCTCCTACATCCTCCTATAAAGAGTAGGCGACGACGACGATTCACACAATCACCAACAAGTGAAATATCACTAGATCGCCAATTTTCGACACTTGCTATTAGTAGCAATCGGTCAGCCAATCAAGAGCAATCGAATGTCGAAAATTGCCGATCTAGTGATTATTCACTTGAAGGCGATTGTGTAAATCGTTTGTCGTCGCCTACCCTTTATAGGGGAATGTAGAAGCTCCCGGGAGGATTGGCTAAATACGAATGACTTGCCCGACTGACGAGACTGCAAGACCGGAATACGTGTTATCGTGCTGCGCAAAAAACCCATACCAGACCACATTCCCTCAGTGGTCTACGTATGTTTCGACGGTATCGTCTGTTTCATCAGTGCCACTCGCCCGACTCTAAACTCTACGTTAAAGTATGGATGGGGAGACGTTATTTATTACGATAGAACGTGATATTGTGTCATCACCATCTTTTTCAGTCGATGATTACGGCTGGTAATGATTGTGTAAATATCCTTCCAATCGAGTGTTTTACTAAATGGTGAATTACCTTGATTCTGTCCTTCATAACCAAATAAGTATTAGCTGCTATTAAAAAATGTGTAGAAAAGAGTGGTCTAAAAACTGTCAGAAATGTAGGAATTCCACCTCACACATTACATCGTCAAATGATTCAAAACCGCCTGTACGGCCGCTCATGTAAAACAGAAAACTGCTTGACTGCCTCAACAGTAGAGACAAAAATCGCATGAGTACAAGTACATTACATCCTAATTTTTGTAAGACATGGTGATGAGTGCATATGCAAAACGGGTAGACCACTTTATGTTCTCATAAAAGAGCACAGATGGAAAGTAAGAAGTCGCCCATGCACCTTCAGGTATGTATAGGACAGACTGGCATAGTGGTGACGAATTCTAGATAATTAAAATTCTGAGGCGCTAGTCAAAAGCGTTTGCGCGAAATACCATTGAAGCTATTTGGCTGATAGTCGAGAATCCAGGGCTGAACAAAAGCAAGAGTGTCAGAACATAACTAATCATATGGCACCTGTTGCCGAACTATTATTCTAATTTGATTAATGTGCATTATTACGTATGAGATATATGTTAATCCGCCATATTCATCCGTTTTGAGGATTCGCCAACCAGTGCCAAAAAATAAGTCCATGTGCAGTTCAAAGAAAACTGAATAAGCTTCGAGTTGAGAAAAATCTCTTTTGCCGTGCCGAAATACAAAAGGAGCAGTCACCAGTGAGTGGGGAAACACTCAACATACCTCAAAATTGTGGTGCTCCAGGAAAATCCTTGTCTTTTTACTTACTTGAATACATAAACGGCCCGTCTTCACGAATGTGGACCCAACTCTTCCATTCGTCTCGTCTTCTCGCTATTGTTGTTCATGACGGTAGTTTCGTTCGAGCATGGCCACTGGCGCGAGTTTCATACCGTGATCTGTAGAATATCGGCAGGTACGAATACAGCTAATGCGAATACAGATGTGAATACAGCTGATTAAATCTTCTTGTGAATAATTCCGCCCAGCGTGTAGGTGATCATCCTCGGGGTCGGGTGTATTCTCGTGGCGTCTAGATTTGATAGGAATTTTCCATCGATGCGTATGCCCTTCTGGTCCAAGCCAGGTGACTTCATTACACATTGCAGTGCGGCGGAGAACAGCTTTGGCGATATCGTATTGCCTTGTCAAACCCCTTCTCCAATGAGTATGGTAAGAGATCGATGAACGAGGTGTATTTACGTGGCGCAGTTCCGATAGTAGTCTGACAAATCTTATGTAAAACGAACCCACTTCGACAAGCGCTGATAAGACTGCGTTCGTTTTGACGCTATCCAATGCTTTTTTATATTGGATAGAAGTTAGGATCAAGGGCACGTGGTATTCTTGAGAGAGTTCTATGACCCTCGATACGACTTGGATGTGGTCCATGCAGCAGAATCCTTGTCGAAATCCTGCGCGTTGAACTGGTTGCGCCTCATCCAATGTTCTTGATATGCGTAGAAAGATGATCTTCGTAAAAAGCTTGTAAAGTATGCTTAACAAGCAGATTTGACGGTAAATGCGAAGGTTTCTTCGGTCACCCTTTTTATGAATGTTGACTTTGCAGGACATCGTCCACTGGTCTGGAATTTTTTCCTTTTAAAGGTAAGTTGTTTTATGTGCTGGAGAAGTACATGTGAATTATGGCCACCGGCTCGCAGAAAATTGGAAGAGATGTTATTAGAACCTGGAACCGCGCCTTTTTTCATGTTTTCTAACGCGACTCGAGCTTCAGAGGGCAGAATTCCAAACGGATTTCTCCAGTGAG